ATGCCGGCGTGCGGGCGAAAACTACGGCAGCGAGCGGAAGCATACCATGTCCATCAGCAAGAGTTGCTTGGAGAAGCGCGCGCAGATTTCTTATGGTTGCTTACGTGGGTGACTGTTGTCGCGTGCTGCGTGCACGATTGCCACAACTCTCTGAAATGGTCAGTGTTGTCTTTCGTGAACAATCGTGAAACCATGAAGGATTGCTGGGTGGTTCTTCAAAGCCTGCGGCACGGTTTTGGGCAGTTGGTGCGACAACTCCCGTCGTTCTTGGCCAGGTGCATTCGCTTTAAGAACGGTGATGTGCACGCGCTCGAGGTCATGTACAAAATGCTTGGGATCACGGGCAAATGGCTGGATGCTTTCCTAGAGTTGCAGCTGCGTTGGGAGGACGGCTACCTGTGCGTTGCCGAGAACATGCAGGGCGAACTCGACCTCGTGAAACGCATCACGGCTGCGCTGCTCCACATCTGGAGGTTCCGGGCGTGGAGCGATTCAAGGTGGTGCGGGCTGGGGCAAGGCTGCCGCGCGCTAGCCAGCGGGGCTGTCACTGGACTCAAACATCTTGTGAAGCAGGTGCTGGATGATAAGAGTGAGACGAACTATTACATCAAGGGTTTCAAACGGCTCAAAGACCAGGTGTTGTACACGATCATCGTCATAGCTTTGACGAGTTGGCTCAGTGAATCGGTTCTCGTCATGGTGCTCGAAGACGACCGGGTGCCTCTAATCTTGCCGCAGATGGATGGTAAGATCAACGAGATGCGTGACTTTATCCTTGCTGTGTCAGATGATGCGCTCACTCTCCTTGCGAAGTGTTGCGACGGCAGCGTTCGCCAGATGCGCCACGACATCATCATGGCGGTCGCGGTGCAGATTGGGTATTTGATGGCACGGCTGCGGACGTACAGGCGGCCCCCATGGACAGTGTGCAGGGGCGACGTGTTGGAGAACCTCCGCGAGCTCAGGCGAGGCCCGCGGCCGGGCGAACATTTCACGCAAAAAATGCACGACTTGTTGGAGCAAGGGGTTTCGGAGGAGGCTCTCGAGCCAGCGGTCGTCTTACTCGGCAATACTCCCCACTCCTCCCGCGAAGTGGAACAAGCTCATAGTCCACAGTCGTCCTTGGCCAAAGCTCACAGAGCATACTGCAGAAGGAGAGTGTCATCGCGGGCTACTGTGGCGCAGGCCCGCACGCTGTTCGAGGAGTGCCCGTTGTCGAAGAAGCTCGCGCGATGTCACCAGAAAATAGAACGTCTGAGGCGTTCTAGGCCCAACTCGATCAAAGGCAGGCACGCTTACGTCCGCGCCTTGATCGACCAGGCGAAGGCCCATTCGGAGCAGAGGTACAACGTCAACCACAAGCTCACGAAGGCTGTGATACAGGGGCATGGTCGAAGATGGAAGGAGCGCGGGGGTCTCGTACATGTGATGCCGATGCTTCCTGATGGGCAGTGCGATCCCCCCCATGATCACGATCAGGTTTTGATGCCCCCCCAACCATAGTTTTTTGGAACGTTTGTTGTAGACTTCTGTTTGGCGCACCGCACAGGACAAGAGCGCGGCGCAGAAGAACCTTTACGAGTCGATGGCTGTCTACATGCAGGAGGACAAAGTTGATGTCGTGCGCGCTCAGCTCCAGGAGCAACTTCAGTTGAAGCGAGATATCAAGAGGGAGCTCGCGGAGAAAGCGGCCAAGGAGTCTGGGCGACTGAGCTCGGGCTCTTGCCGCTTCAGCGCTGCCCAAATCAGTGAATTCAACGACCTGTGCGCGTCCAGCGAGTGGTCGGAGGCCCGCCTCGACGAGTTGCGCTCGCGGGCTTGCAGACCAGTGGGGCCGCCACCGGAGTGGAAGATCAAGACGCTGGAGGCGATGGACATCCCCAGCGCAGGGCCGAAAAACCGTTATCCAGATTGGGTACCTCTTGTTTGCACCAACCGCGAGTACTTCTCGAGGTGCTTGCTGCGAGTGTGGCGCGGTGAGGAGAAGGACGATTACAAGTTCGTCTATGGATACAAGCAACCTTGGCTCATGTGCTGCTGCGCGGTGCACGAGGAAGAGGTCGAGTTGCATGCGGACGCCCTCCCGCGCGTGGGCTACGCGGCCGCCGACGTGCATGTATTCGACCACCGCTTCCGATGGGATTGGGTCGGCGGCTGGAGCTATTCCGACGACGGCGTGTTCGACGGTGTCGACAGGGTCCAGGTTCTCAGCGACTGCATCTGCATGGACGGGTACATCGGCTGCGACGGCGAATGGACTAATCTTCTGGATTTGCTTGACATTTTGACCCCTGTTGGCACCGCTGGCGCACAGGAGGAAGGCGACTCTGGGCACGGGCCGGGTCCTCTCCCCGCGCCAGATCCATGGATGGAGGACCCTGCGATGTGGCTGTTCTACTGCGACGCCGAGGCCAAGGGGAGGGAGAAGCGGGCCGCTGGCGAGCCTGATGACAGCGACTCCACGCTTTCGGACGATGCCGACGCCCAGAGCCTGGGCTCGGACGACTTGGACGAGATCGACGCAATGGAGCGTCTGTGGGAGCGGCGACTCGAGCTGGAGAAGGTCGCCCTTGTACCCTTGCCAGACCTCTTCACCTTCACGCTTCGTGGGGGTAAGTGGACAAAGAAGAACAAAGGCGTCGCCTTCGACGCTTACATGGCGTTCGCTCGAAAAGGGCCGGGCCGGGCATTCGTCCGGAAGTATGGCATCCAGGCTTCCAGGAGCTACAGCATTCGCTCATATGACGAAGCGGCGTGCTTGACCATGGTGAACGCATGGATCCACAAGTTGTCGTATTTTTACCAGAGGTATTTCGATGACGGTTGCCGGGATGATTTCCGGTTTCGGGCCGGGGACATCCAGGGCTATCAGGAACCGCCCGAGCTGACTGAGCTTGCTAGGGGGGCTTCGCCGCAGCTCGCCGTCCGCGTGCGGGAGTTGCGGGCGATCCGGCCGAGGGGAGTTGCTTGACGAGGCTCAAGCGCGCTTATCCAACGCGATATCCACCAAAACGCTCCCCAAATCCCGCTCCAATATTTCTAAATAGTGAATTCAATCTTGTAGATTTTGGGGGAGGTTTTGGGACAGGTTTTGGGGAGAAGGTTTTTCTTTTGTGGGGGGCTTCCCTCGGGGGCCAAATCGGGCCCCGAAAACTCTTCCCCAAAACTTCCGCCGCGCCTCCCTGGCCGAAGTTTTGGGGGGCCTTCTCTCTGGCCCCCCCCCCTTTCTCCTCGCGTCCCTGTCGGGGCGCATCGGGACGGCACCTCAAAGAGGCATCGAAAATCAGGGGGCCCAGGGACCTCGAAGAGCTTCTGGGGGGCTGCGGCGAGGGGGGGAAATTCGTTACGTTTCCACCCCGTGCCTTGGGTGGAAACGTAACGAATTTCCCCCCCTAGAAGAAGTTCTGGGCTGGCTGTGGCGAGGGGGGGAGTTCGTTACGTTTCCACCCCGAAGAGGTTGAGGGCTGGCTGTGGCGAGGGGGGAAATTCGTTACGTTTCCACCCCGTGCCCGGCTGGCCACCGCGCCAAATCTTCGGACATTTTCGAAGCCAGCCGTCCCGGGCAGCTGGAATCAGAGTCGGCTCCCGCCCGACCCCGCGGCCCCAACGCCACTTCAGCTACATCTGCATTGCGCTCCAGCGCTCCATTTTACGATCGGCGGTGTTGATTTTTACGTCCGTTGTTGCACTGTTTCGCATTGCCTTGCTAAGTTGCGCTGAGTGGCGGGCGCAATCCAATCCCTCCAGTTACCCCTCCTTCCCGCTCCCCGCCCTCTTTGCTGGGCGGCGCGGTGGGCTCCCCCATATGACAGTCGCAGTGCCTTGCCGTATCCCAGCCCCCGCTTTGAGCCTGCAGAGGTGTTCCGTTCGGACGGGGCCGTTGCCTTTCCTCCCCGCCCCCCTCCATTCCCGCTGTGTCGTTTCCCCTGCCTCTCCCCCGCTCCCTGGAGAAGGGGAGGGGGAGGAGGAGAGGATGAGGCTGAGGATGAGGAGGGTGAGGAGGCAGCGTGGAACTCAGCATCTTCACCTGAGGCATTTGGGGGCCGAGTTTCGTGACGCCAGTGCGCTTCGAAACAGTATGGTGGCAATCTAAACGGTCGCGGTGGCAATCTAAACGGTCGCGGCGGCCATGGCATTCTAAACGGTCGCGACCGTTTAGATTGCCATCAAAACTCGCGCCAGCAACGACGTGCGTGCCCGGGACTGCACAACTAGGACGATCACCGACGCGTCAACCTCGAGTGCAAGCAACCCTGGAAACATGAAGGGGGAAACTCTGTACCAAACGGTTGTTTTGTACAGACTTTCCCCAATGCGTCTTGGCGACGCTCAGAGCGACAAAACGGGTTAGTCGCAGCCTGCAGCACGACTCTGTCATATCCTCGGCTGATACATGATCGCTCCCTTCTGCGACCGGCTCCAAACGGAGAGATGCGGCCACACGAGGGAGAATGTTGAGCCGTTCTGGAGGCCATCTTTGGCCGTCTTGGAGGCATCTTGGGCCATTTTGGCGTTGATGGTTTGGGCCCATTTTGTTTACGAGGGTTCGTGGCCTCGGGAGCGCGGGCCCATATATTTACAGTTGGGACTGGGTCCCATAGGAGAGAGGAGCTGGGCACCCAGAAGTCTGAGACCAGGACGGGGGTGTCTTTGGGGGCCCCTCAGCAGAATACGGAAACCCTACCAGACAGTCCGGAGGCGCTGTAACACGCCACTGCCGCGCAGGCGCGCCAGCGGATGAATGCGTGTTTGTCGGCCCTGCTGGGCACTGGCCGGCTGTGCGTGCAACCTTTTGTGCGCCGTTGGAGGTCTTCGATGGGGGTCGTTGCCGTTGGAAGAGTTTCCCCACCGGTCTGCGCCAGCAGCTGAGAAGACTTGAGGCGTATATGATCCCACCACAGGCCGAGCTCGATTGAAGACCATTCCGCGTTTTCACTCTTCGGTAACGACAGGCTATCAGTGTAAATGTTTGCCCCGCCCCTCTTGGAGCATATCGGAGCATGCCAGTACATCGTGCCCCCGACTGGCAGCGCAAATATGTGCGGCACCTCATTGACATCTTTCGTGCCCCTCAGTTGTCACAGCTGGCGGGTGATGGGAGATAAGGGGCCACGATTCCTCCCTCCTCCTTCTCGTCTTCCTCCCCTTGCCCCTCTCTGCCTCCTCCTCCCTCCGTTATGCTCCTCCCTTCCCCTCCACAGCCGTTTTTGTCTCAAGGGGCGTCGTGGCACAACGCTTCGGAAAGCAACATAGACCTACAGCGGCCTCAGCATGGTGAAGGCCATGAAGTCCAAGAAGGCCGCCAAGGCAACCAAAGCCGCCGTGGCCCGAAAGGCGAATGCCAAGGCCGCGGCCACCAAGCGGCTGCAGGACAAGGACGACCTCGACGAGATGAAGAAGGGGGCCCAGCGCGCCAAGAAGGGCAAGCGCACCATCGACGAGGCCACAGAGAAGGCCGTGGCCGACAACTTCCCCGGATGGACCGTGACGGAGACTCACGTCAACAAGCTCGGCATTGAGGGCACTGTGTTTGACCAGGTCAAGAGGGACAAACTGCGCAAGCTGGACGGCGAGGACATAACCATGGGGAAAACGTACTACAACGACCTTCGCATCAAGAACCAGGATCCCAACTCGCCCCTGGCACAAATGCAAGTCGAAGACGACAGCCAGGAGATGGACGAGTCTCTCGAGGCCGCCTTGATCATATCATCGGCCATCTAAGCCAAAATGGCAACATTATCAAACAATGCACACAATTAAAACATGCATTGGTCTTTGGTACGTGTTTTGTTGTTCTCTGTCCGCAGGCTGCGATCATGGACCTGCTCGAGACGAAGCGTTGCTTGATCCTGTGGCACGATTGGTGCGAGAACGTTGCTGATGTGAATCAGCGCAACTTCGCTGCTGCGGCGCAGCAGGTCTTGAAGACACCCCCGATGAAAAACTTGGACAATGCGCAGATTTGTTTGAGCTTCTTGAGGCTCATCCTGCGGCTTGGCCTCCATGAGAAATTCAAGAAGTACACCGACCTCATGCACGACCATTTGGATTACTCCGTGGTGAAAGAGCTGCTCTCCTACAAGGCGCAGGGCAAGACGTCGTACGAGTGGTGGTGCGAGGCGTCCGATTACGCGTCCCATTTCGCCCCGAGGGCCGAGACAGAGGTGTGCTTCAAGCAGGAGGGGAAGTGGACGGATTGCCAGGACCAGCTTCGAAAAGTCACCGCTTCAAGCTTCATCGGGGCGCGCTTGTTCGGGCGGGCGCTCAAACAGATCGACGTTGACCGCGGCGCGGTGCTTGTCGACAGGGCCATCGTATCGCTGGAGGCCGAGGCCAGGATCAACAAACCGGTCCTTGCAACGAATCGCGCAGGTCGCGTTGACGATACAAGATTTCCGCATAATCCTCCTCCTCCTTTCTATTCTTCTCCCCCTTATGTCTCATGTCCCTGTCCCCCCCCTCTCCTTTATATCACTCCCCTCCCCGCAGCCCCCTTCAGCCGTCCTTTTCCTCCCCCCCCCCCCGCCTCCCCCTCATCCTCTTCTTTCCTTCCCCCGATCCTGCTTCCGCCCTCCTCCTTTTCCTTCTCCGTCCTCTTCTCCCTCCCCTTCCCTCCTACTGGCCTCAACGTAGTCGTCAGAGGTTTCTTGAGGTCCATGAAGGACGAGGGCATGGACGCGAACTCCCGATTCCCCAAAGTCCGCATTTTCGACATGAAATATCGTGGATCCCCTTCGCCAGCGCCGTGCATTTCGCACTTGGACTACTACACTTCCGCGGTGGAGTCACGCTGCCGCGCGTGGCTTGTGGAGAACGGGAAGGTGAAAAAGATGTGGTGCGAGGACCAACTTGCTGAGCGAGAGCCCGTGCAGAAGGATATATCCGACGCTTGCATCAGCAAGGGTGGCAAGTTGGTGCGGCAGACCCTGGCGGACTCGCTCGATGACGACGAGGCCTCGGCAGTGTCCATCATGGCGCTCATGAAGAAGAAGCGCTCGTGGATGGACTCCAACGACCGTTTCAGCAAGATCGAGCGTGGCTTTTGGGAGGCGGTGACGGGCACCATGGCGCAGTCGCGCTTGGAGGGCAAGGTGATCGGGTGCTTCCCCACCCCGCCCCTCCGCAAGAAGGATTCGGAGATCTTGGCGAACTTCGAGAGTATCAACACGTCCCAGCTGCTGTACTTTTGCGGCGCGTCCTCGAAGTCATGGTGGACGACGGTTTACGGCTACGTGAAGGCGATCTGCGCCGGCGCGGCCCCGGGGCTGGAGAAGGCCAAAGAGTCGGACTTCATGACGAAGTTCCAGGAATGCCTCAAAAACCAATGCGAGTTCGAGGAGGCGGCTGGCAGTGATGGGGCGGCGGGGACGCTCTATGGCCAGGCCGCCATCGCGAAGCACTACGAGGCAGTGAAGGCAAAGATGCAGGATGCGGAGGCCAAGCTCGTGTACAAGGACATCAAGGAGGTCATCAAGTTCGGTTGGGCCCTCGCGCCGAGCGAGAGGCAGTCCGCGGCGAAAGCTCTGACCCTCGCTGGCCCCAAGGGGAAGAACGCCGACGAGAAAGATGCCAAGGCCAAGAGTCCTGCCGTTAAGAAGGCGGCGGATGATAAGAAGGCTTTGGTGAGGTCTCTGTTCATGAAAAGGAGCCCGCCGTGATGCGATTTAGCTTCCGACGCGGCGGGCGCTTGCTGCCGAGTTATCCCGCGCAGCATCTGATCGTAGCTATGCGTGTATAGCTTGGGGGGGCCTTCCGTGCATGGAAGCACGAAGGAAGGTCAAGGGTCTACTTTGCTAATCGGAGCGGTCGCGGGCTCCAGCTCGTTTCATCATGTAGGGGCTCGGGTGTGAGAGGGCTTCCACACGAAAGTTGGATGCAATGCCGCTTGCTGGTGCGCCTCGGCGGATACTTCTGTGGCTGCGCGCTCGTCTTCTCACGTGGGCTCTAGCAGGGCGTAGGCAAAGCTGGGCAACCTCGTGCGAATGGAGGTGCCGGCGACAGCTTGCGGCCGGGGGAACAACGAGCTCCAGGTTTCTTGCAGCAGAGAAATCATGTGTCGTATCAGTCGTGTTATGTTGCGGCCGGTCTACCTTTCAATGGTTGCACGCATGCGGAGTTCTACGCTGTCTCTCACCTCCAGCTCCCCTTCGTCCTCAGGGGAAGGGAGGCGGGCGGGAATGCGGGAGGGCGCGGGGGGATTGGGAGGAGGGGGAGGACGAGGAGGAGGGGGATGAAAAGGAGGAGGGGGATGATGAGGATAACGAGGAGCAGGATTTTTTTTAGCACGCGCTTCGTGGAGCCGAAAGAAGGCCGACCACGAAATCCCAGAAGGCCGTGCCTTGTCATTCGAATGATGGTCCCAGCCTGGGCCCGCATGGGCCGCACAGGGCTGGACTGTGCTCTTCAATGCCCGTCCTTCTCGCTAGATGGGGTTCGGGGCCAAACGCCGTCGCCGCCGTGGCCGCGACGTGGAGACATGAACGCGACGAACGCCACCGCTGCGACAGTTCCTTGTCGTCGCGCGAGTCTGCGGCGCCAGCCTCCCACCACGAGGCGCATGCTAGGGGCGTGCCGTCGCAGACAGTCCCTCCCGACCGCGCCCCAAACGGCGTTGGGCAACAAAACCACAACGCATTTGCCAGAGGGTGGAACTCGACCACACGTGTGATTTGGGCGGCACGCCCCATGCCACAGCAGGGCGCATTGCCCAGATCTTGAGCCGCCGCCAACGACAGGGGGCGACATCATCATGCGGCGTCATGCAGGCGCCGCGTTTCCTTTTCCCGAACCCCCGCCCCGATCGGGCTCTAGCGTGGCGATGTTCGTGGGAATACGATGCGATGATAATGATTCCTTCCCTTCCGCGTTGTGCCGCGGGCGTTGCGGGCGTAGCCGGGCGCCCAGTTGCGCGCGCGGCTCATGCAGCCCCCCGTCTGTTAGGGGAAGATTTTGGCGGGGGCCCTTCTGGCAGGGTGTCTGAGGCGACCAACCGCCGCGGGCCTGGCGCCAATGGGGCCGCGGTGATAGGCGGCACCCCCGCCGTACACCGTGCTGCCGCCTGTCGGGACGCGCGCGGGGGAGCGGTAGCGTGGCGTGCTCGGCTGACCTGCGTCGCGTTGGTCGCGCTGCTGGATGCGCTGCTGGTGCTGTTGATAGCGCTGCTGGTCGGCTCTCGAGAGCGGGCGGGTGTCGGGGAGGATGGTGGGCACGTCGGGCCGCCGCCAGCCCTGATAGACGTGCTCGAAAGCGTGGTCTGGGTAGGTATCCCCGACGGGTGAGTATCGCCGCAAATGCTCCACGTAGTCAATGTTCTGCGGCTCGGGGAGCACCGTGATGTTCACAGCTCGCTGGTGCGCTGGTCCATAGAGACAGAAACTACCACGGTTGCTGCGGTCGTGGTTCAGCTCGGCTTCGGTCGTGGCACGGCTCACCATGGCGTCGCAGAGGCGCATGTCATAGTCGAGAGCTTGAGGCCCAGGGCCGCCCTCGGCGTCCCAGTACAGTACCACATCTCGCCAGCGGGTGCGGGTAGTGTGGATGCGCTCGGCGATAGCCTCGCAGACGGTCCTGACTGTGACACGATCCCTGTACATGTTGGTGATGGCCAGGGAATAAGGTCGGCGGACCGTCTTGTTGAAGGTGAAGTCTTCCTTGAGGGCCTGGTGGGGGCCGAAGAGCACGTAACCTTCCCTCCAGAGCGGTTGGTCGGGGGGCGGTTCTTCAGGCATCCCCGTTCCTGTGAACCCAGGTGGCCGCCTCGTGCCGTCAGGCAGTCCCTGCCTGGGGACGCGCCGCGGCCTCGGTGGAAGGTACCATTGACCCTGGTAACCTGCTTGGCCTGGTTGTGGAGGCTCCCCCCCGGGGCCTGAAGGCGCTCGGGGGGTTCCTTGAGGTCGTGGTGGGCTGGCGCGTTGCCGTATTGGCGGGCAAGGATGTGCGGAGGCATCCCTGTGGCACGGACGTCGAACAGGCTGTGCGGACTAGGCGGATGGGGGCACCTGCTGGACAGGCAGCATGTGTCGGAGTCCCTGTTGTCGGTGCTGTATGCACACGTCCAGCTGTTGCAAGAGTAGTCCGTGGACCAGTCCATAAGTGCACGTAGTCCGCTGAGGGCGCAGTCTGGGCACGTTGGTTGGCCCGAGGTGCCGAGCTGCGTGTTGCGGCGGGCCGCACAGTACTGACAGCATTGGAATCGGCACTGTAGGCATGACCAGCGTCCTGGTAGGGGCGGGAGCGCTTGCTCGTTTGTGCCTGGGTCGTCTGGGTGGGGTCGGGGTCGATCCCACAAGGGCCAGACGTCGGCAAACCAGGACTGGCCTGTAGTGCGGACGACCTCGGCGGGGAGGCGAGCGTCGTCGGCGTGGCGCTCGATCCACTGGGGCCCCATGTCCGCTGGTACCATGACCGTGCGCCACGTGTCATCCGCCTTGACGTGGACTTGGGTCGGTGCCCAGAGCTTGGTAGTGGTATCGCCATGGTCGTGGTGGAGGATGACCCAGCCGTCGCGACCCGCCACCGCAGGGTCGATAACGCGATGGCCCATGACGGTCGTCCCCCACGGTAAGTAGGCGCCATCGTGGTGATCGCCAGGGTCAAGCCAGACCTCGATGCCGGCGGCATTGACACGGGCCCGCACATCGCGGACGTGGAAGGCGAGAACGTGGTAGGCGGTCGGCTCCTCTTCCGTCTCGATGTGCTCCCACGTCTCGATGTCGCTGTTGTCCGAGGGGGAGTTTCCGCCACTCTGCCGTGACGAACGGGAGGGGGATCGCCGTGGGCGGGCATGGCCTCGGGCGAGGGCGGCGGCCGCGCTGATGAGGGAAGGCGCACGGCGGTCGTCGGCTCCTGATGTCGTCGATGAGCGGTCTGGGCTGTGTGCCAGGGCGGTACCTGACTGGTAAGTGCGCGGTGGGCCAGACGCGGCCCCAGGGCTGGAGCCGCTGGGGCGCGACTCACGTGCGTCGGGATGCCCCCGCACGGGGACGGCTTGCAAGCCAGTGTACACCAGGTCGATCAGTGGCTGCGGGTCCAGCTGGAGCTTGCGAAGCGAGACGCGTGGACGGGGCTGGGTTGGGTCGGCCCTGGTGGCTGCTTCAGTGTCGTATTGCTGTTTGGCCCATGCTCGCGCTGCCTCTGGCGAGTATAGTGCCTGCGGCGGTGGCCACGCTGCCGCGATGTCCAGCCTGCGCCGAGTGCTAGCTTCCTGGTCTTGGGCTTCAGCCGCCTCACGGAGATCTGGATGATCGTAGCCAGCGATGTGGAGGGCGTGCGCACAGTCGCCCATGCCATAGGCTTGTGGTAGGGCACGGCACCTGGAGGCAGCTTCCGTGGGGGCACACCAGTCCATGCGGATGAGGAGGCCCAGGACCCGAGGGTAGATGAGGCGCGCTCCATGGGCCTCCCCTTTCACGAAGTTGTGCCAGTTTTCACCGCTCGGTGGTTGGGTGGCCTCGCACATCCAGAGCGCGATGGGTCCCCACGCGAGGGTGTCGTCTTCGAGGCTGTAGGGCGGGTGGGGCGGCACTGCGTACCACGCGGCCAGCGAAGGGTGCACGCTCACGTACGTGCGGCCAACGTTGGTGCCAGTTCGACCCTTCGCTTCACGGCGGGGGCCTGGCAAGAGGTGCCCTCCGCTGGCAGCGAGACGGGCCGCAAGGTCGCCGCGGGTCCCATGCCAGAAGACAGTGGGCGCGTCGGTGGTGGGTTTGCGGAGGTCCCACGTGAGGTAGGGGAAAATCGTCTCGCCTGAGTTCCCGCCCGAGTCTTCGAGCACCCAAGTGAGGCGGTTCGGGGGCCTCTGCATGATGTCAGTCCACGGCCCCAGCGCTTGGAGTGTTAGATCATGGGTGAATCGAGGATGGTCGGGGAGTCGCAGAGCGTCTTTGATGTCCTCTGTAGACACGCCACTGTTACCAAGCGCAAAGCCGTTTTGGTACAGGGCGTTGAGGATGCTCGTCGGCGGCACGGGGACCGCTGGGTTGCGCTGGATAGTGTTGCGTAAGTTGCGCGTCGGTGGCTTGAGGGCTAGGTGGGGCGTACCAGGGCCTGAAGGCGCCTGGGGCCTGGCGGGTGATGCATAGCGTGCTCGCCGGCGTGGTGGTTGGGTGTCCGTGTCGGAAGAGGAACCACGAGCATCTGCATGTCGGAAGATGGACCACGGGCTGTCGCGGGTGCGCTCACGTGGTTCCCTTGCCTCGGCGTCGCTGGCGTGGGCTGTGGCGTCTTCGTGAGTCGGTGGGTTACCATAGGCCGCGCCGCTCGTGGCCATCTCGCAGGGACGGGCTGGTCGATCGTGGTGTGACAGACGAGGCTCGCGATACCGCGGCAGTGACTTCGACAATGGCGGCGGTGGTGGCGGTGGTGACATCGGCGACTGCGGCGGCAACTGCAGCGGCGTAGTGCTCCTGTAGCAGCGGATGTCGAAGTGAGTGCACGTGCTGGCTCTCGGGTTCGTCGGGAAGTGTGCGCGGCATTGTGTATGTGGCCTCATCGCGCGGCCTCCTGCTCGGTTGGCAACAACGGAGGCACCACTGGGCTGTGGATGAGTCCAGGGCACGCGCACAGATGCGGGCTCCTACGTGTCCAACGGCTCCTTGAGCGAGGAGTTTGGCGCCGACCAGTAGAAGACCGCACACCACTCCACCAGTGGCAATAGCTC